ACCATGTACAAAACAAGATATATTCAGGGTAAATTGTAGATTATTTCAGAGAGAAGGCACTAAGGTTAGGACGACTGGGAAAGGCTTCCAGTAGAAGGTGGTGCTTTGGTTGAGACTTACAGGAAGCTAGGGAAGCCAGGAGTCAGAGATGAGGGGGTAGAGTGTACTAGGCATGGGAACAGTCAATGAAAATGTCTGGAGTCCACAGATGGAGTGTCATGTGTGAGGAACACCAAAGAGCCAGTGTCTCTGGAGTATGTAGAGGGAAGTAAGATATCAGAAGACTGGAAAAATAAAAAGGGGTCAGGCTATGGAAGTTTTTAAAACCCAAACTGTGAATTTTATATTTGATCCTGGGGCAATGGGGAGCCATTGGAATTGACTGAATAGGTCAGAAATAAGCTTTAGGAAAAACAATTTGACAGATGAGTGGAGGATGGACTGAAATGGGAAGATACTTGAAGCAAACGGACCCTCCAGCAGGCCACTGCAATAGTCCAGGCATGAAGTGATGAGGTCCTGCACCAGGGTAGTGGCAATATCAGAGGATAGAAGGGGGTGTATAAGAGAGATGTTGGGAAGGTAGAAAAGACAGGACTTGGCAACTGATTGAATTTGCATTGGAGATGAGAAAAAGTGAGGAGTCCAGGAGGATACCTAGGTTGTAAGCTTGGGTGTCTACTTCAGAATGTAACCATAGTGCTCTTCTTCTGATAAACTCCCTATGTCCCAGCTGTCCTTGGCATTTTGTTGACTATTTGTTCAATGTTGTGCATAGTATTTAACAAAAAGCCTCAGCAGATTCCGAGCTTTAGTCTTCCTGACACTAGGACTGCATATGCTATTCCTTCATATCCACTTATGTTCAATTAACTGCCCTTGCCTCTTTCTGTATTGGCCACCTGACCAAAGTAAGTAAGTGAGCTCTCTTACTCCTTTAGAAGACCCATAGGATCCTAGATTTAGAACTGAAAGGGACCTCAGAAGTGATCTGGTCCCAGGCCCTCATTTTACAGATGAAGAAACTAAGTCCTTGAAAGTTTAAATAACTTGCCCAAGGTTACACAGGGAGCAAAATGGCAGACTTGGGATTTGAACCCAGTCCCTCTGGCTCCAAATAAGAGCCCTTTTTTTATTGTACCATGCACTCAATGCCACCTTTTCACTGAAAGCCTCAGGGTGGGCATCATATAAATCCCAAGATAATCTTTTTGCAGGGTTAGGCAAATTAAATGTCAACTGCCTGGGTTTCTGTAGCTTTCTTCTTGTCTGTTCACTGGCCTTCCAAAAGGGCCCTCTCCCTAGCCTTTCATGGATCTCTGCCAATTTTCATCAGGAGCCAGACTCAAAACTCATCTCCTCTAGGAAGTGGATTAACCCATCTCACTGAAGATTTTTTCATGCCTACAGGTATCTATTTGTAGCAAGTGCCAAGTGGTAAAAGTACCAAAAAAGAGATATAAGCACGCTTTTCAGGGGCTCACAATCAGATTATTGCAATAAATATTGCAAAATACAGAACACAGACATTAGTAAAGCAACTTTTAAAAATTAATTAAAAATCATGCTTTGAGAATTTAATGTTCATCCCACTCACTATTACACCAATCCCTGTTGGATTAAACAAGTCAAAACTTTTAATCTAAAGAAAAGTTATATAATTTATGCAATTTTTCCCATTGTTCCTAATCTTGGATCTGCATTCACCCTTTCTTGATCTCAAGTTACTCCATTTTCACAGTGGCTGGAGGCTTTTCTTCTCTCTGGCTTAGGCAGAAGACACAGGAGTTTTCTCTGCTGTCCTAGTTAATACTCTTTTTTTTTTTTTTCAGAAAACTAGCTAATATAATCTCACCAGCAGATTGTGACCTATCTAAAACAGGTAATCACATGGTGATCTTAAAGCACCAATCCTCACCTAGTCTAACAGATCTGGATTCATCCCAAGTGAAATTTCTGAACTGCAACTTCTTACAATATATCCTTTGCCCCATTTACTGAATTTCTTAACAGGGACTATTTGCTGTCTCCTGGATGCATTCCCATCTCTAGGTCTTTGCTTACATGGTTCTCATGCCTAGAATGCTCTCCCCTTCCCATCCCCCATCTGCACCCTGGCTTTAGAAATTCAAGGCATCCTTTAAGATTAATCTCAAAGGCTATCAGGGGTGGGGAATCTGAGGCCTCGAGGCCACATGTGGCCTTCTAGGTTCTTAGATTCAGCCTTTTGACTGAGTCCAAGATTTACAGGACCCAGCCCTTTATTAAGGGATTTGTTCTGTGAAGTTTGGATTCAGTCAAAGGGCCACACTTGAGGACCTAGAGGGCCACTTGTGGCCTCGAGGTTACAGGTTCCCTACTCCTGGCCAACTCCTTCAAGAAAACTCTCCCTATTGCCTCATTTGGAAATTATCTTTCCTACTCCCTGGCTATCTTTCCCTACTTCCCTACTCCTGGCCAACTCCTTCAAGAAAACTCTCCCTATTGCCTCATTTGGAAATTATCTTTCTTTCCTTTGACTTCACAAAGTACCTTGAACCTGTCTTCTGTTCCTACAATCCCATTCTGCATTGTTATTGTATACTATTTCATATTTGTGATTGCATCCCTTGCTAGATTGTAAGGGCAGCTACCGTGCCTTGATTCTTGTATATCCCCCCAATGCCAGGTGCAGTGCTTTGCACATAATAGGAGCACAATGTACGACTATCCAAGGAAAGAATTTATATATTAAAAAGATATTCTTGCCTCCCTATGCATGGCTCCCTCTCTCCAGGCTGTCTTTTTATCTGTCTGGCCATTTCTTAAAAAGTTATTTTTCTAATTCACCCATCTATATCCAGTTCCTTACTTTTAGGTGTTTTCCAAAGCTCTTTCCTAGGCCCTCTCCACTTCTCTCTGCACATTCACTCCCTTCCTGTTCTCATCTGCTCCCCTATATTCAGTTATCACCTCCAAGAAGATTCCCACTCCTGAACTCCTGATCTTAGATCTCCAACTGCTTGCTAGATGTGTATATCTGGTTGTCCCACCTCAAAATGAATATGTCCAAAATTGACCACACCTTCCCCCTAAACCTGTCCTTAACCCCCTAAATGTTCTTATTATTGTTGACAGAACCATCATCATCTTCCCAGTCAACCAGGTGTGAAACCTCAAAGGCATCTTCAGCTTTTCCCTCTCCCTCACCCTCCATAACCAAGGTGGTACTAAGTACAGTCAATTGCATCTCTGTGATTCTATCTCATCTTCCTCTTACTCTCTCTACTGACTCCTCTCTTCACAAATGGAGGTCTCAGGTCTCATTTCCTCTTTCTCTAACTTTGAGAGAGGCACTGGGACATTGGACCGTTTTTCTCCTATACCTGGGCATTCAGCATGGACCTCTTTCTGAGGCCTAGGCAGCCTCCCCATCCATTATTCCACCTACCTCTTTATTATTATCAATGTTTAACACAGCACCGTGCACAATGCTTGATAAATAATTGCTTGATAATTAAGTAATTAAGCAGTGATAAAGATCCAAACACAATAGTATTCTAACCTTAGTCTCAGCACAATAGAAGTATGGGGAATCACAGGTCAATGTGGCTAGAATAATCTGATGAGACTTCCTGAAAGACCGGCATATAAAGAGTATGATTTTGAAGATTGAAGATAGGGAGGCAAATGAAGAAGAGTGGTGAAATAATCCTGATGACAAATGATCAGTTTTATTATTATTATTATTATTCCTGGGGGAGTTTAAATGACTCAAAAAATACAGTAGTTTATTGTTAAATGAGAATTCGCCTCAACTTTCTACTAATTCTCAATGTGGACACTAAGTCCCCCTTTAACAGATGGAGGTAGTAAGTTGTTATTATATTTCAAGGATTGATGATTGCAATGGTATTGGTACTTCCTCCCTCACTCCCCCTCCACAACCCAGAATGCAACTCCTTTGTAACTCAGTAGACTTTGAAAGTTAACAATGGTCAAAAAATTCATCACCCAGTGGCCAAACTCGTGAAGAGCCACCATAATATTATATGGTTTGTTTTAAAGTAGGACATTATAAGAAAGGCTAAATAACTTGTTCAACTGGACATAATGGAAGATTCAGGAATAGATTCTGGATCTGACTTCCAGTAGTCTCTCCCCACCCAGTTTCTCTGCACAATCGCTTCATTTTCATTTACTACAAAGTACATAGCCCCAAATTGCTAACGCAGCACTGTACAAAGTACAAAAAAAAAGTCAAACTCAATACTGCCAGTAGAAAGCATACTGTTTTATGCACTGTACTGCAGTTTTAAACAAAATATACGAGATCAAGTGGGACTGGATAGGGCTAAATTTCGCTTTGCAAAGAGACATCCCTCGTTCTTTGCACGGTCCGATGAGTACTTTAAGGACTTAGGACTTTCTTGCGCCATGTTTCTGATGACTGCCAGCTGCTTGGTGACTTGCTTTCCCCTCGAGGCCAGTGGGTCTATGCCTCGGCAAGCCCAGGGAGATCCTTAAAGAAGCCAGTGGCTGCACGGGCCTGTGAGGCTACAAACTTTTATAAGGGAGTGCTCTGGGGGCTGAAGTTGTGGGGAGGGGGGGCGGTGGCAGAAATGCAGAAATAATAACAACAAAAGCTATAGAACCAGACTCACTGACTGGGGCCAGAGACGGAGCCCCAGCTGGGTGACAGGGGACTGGAGGCTGCTGGCCGGGTTGCAGGCTGGAGTAGGAGCTGCGACGGGACCAACAGCGGCGGCTCCGGCGGCGGCAGGCGCCCCGCCCGGGCTGGTATGCGGGTGGAGAATGACGCGGGAGGAGGGGTCACGTGACGCCCGTGGAATGCCAACAATGTAGCGAATGTCCCACTTGGGTCTGCGCGTTGGAACAGCGGCGTGAGCGCCCGGGGAAGATGGAGCAGCCGCCGCCGCCGCAGCAGCAGCCCCCACCGCGGACGACCACGACTTCTGCGCTGCTGCCGCCTCCGCCCGGGGCACCCACCTCCCTGCGGGGCCAGCAGCGGCCCAAGCCGCCAGTGCAGTGCTGCTCCGCGCGAGAAACCACCGAGGAGCCGCTGGTCAGCGGCCCCAGCTACCCCTAGACCCCACCCGTCTCTGGAGGTGAGTAGGCACTGGGGGGTGTGTGTGTGTGTGTGTGTGTGTGTGTGTGTGTGTGTGTGTGTGTG